TCCAGGAAAATCATGCATTGCACCAGTGGAATGAGTGAGGACATACCAACTGCGATCATTTTTAAACTGTTTTACGTATAGACGACTGCAGGAAGGACGTTCAAGCCGCTGCAAGAATTATGCTCACGAAAAACGCACTTGCGATTGCAAGCTTGCCCAAGATACATTTGCGTGCGTGCTGCATTCAACATAAAAAGGAAATAAATTGCACCAATCTTTATTGATTGACTCCGTGTTGTAGAGATGTGGCAGGGAAAATTTTCATTTTATCTTCCGATATGTTCCTCCTGCCTGAAACTCCAAAGGCACCCCGCCGTCGCTCGAGAGCTTGTAGAGAATTTGAGCAAACTGTTACGATAAGCAGGGTACGATAACCAGGGTTGGAAAATACTTTAAGTACATTGTACTTAAAGAACTACTTCAAGTAAGTTTAAAAAATTAGTACTTTACTTGAAGTGCATTCTCTAAGTATGAACTTGTACTTTACTTAAAGTATTTTTTTTTTCTGGTACTTCCCCAGGAAAGTACAACTCCCGACTTCAAAATACATTCCCTAAATTTGGTCTCATTAAATTTGTGCCACAAAGGGATGATTTATGAAGAAATGAATGCCCTATAAGTTTATTATGCTAAATAAAACGTGCCCCCCCCCCCCCCAAAAAAAAAAAAAAATTAAAAAATAAATTACACATTTTCGAACGCTCATTTTCCTCCCAAACGAAGCGCTAGCGGTCCGATCCGTATGCCAAATTGTGAGCGGTAAGCATTATATTGTTCAAAAGTTATAAGTGATTTTCTGAAAAATTTTAATAGGAAATGGGGCAAATTTTTGCCCGTTGGCGTTAACTGGCGCCATTGATTATTCGAGAGCTCTGTCGGCTGCCATTTTCCCATTGAAAGTTAAAAAAAAAAAAAACTTAAAACTTTTGAATAAAATAACGGTTACTGCTGAAACTTTGACATCTGGATCGGAGTGCTAGCGGTACATTTGGACGGAGAGTGAGCGTTTGGGGATGCGTAGTTTATTTTTGAGGTGAAAATACCTCGTAATTTTCGGGGGACACAATGTAGTTCTTCTGCGAGAGTAAAACAACCATACTCTGTGGTCACTTGACTTTAACCAATATTCTCCGCCATTTGCGAAAACAATTGGTGCCCCCCGATTACCCGGTCAATGCATAACAGTTTAAAAACAAAAACATTGTATACATAGAGAGGGGAACGAAATGGCATAATGAACGATGGTATTAAAAAGTACTTGTATTTTACTTTGAAAGTACTAAATCGTATTTACAGTAGTTTACTTCTAGTACATTGCTCCCGGTGTACTTACTACATTGCTTGAAGTACATAACCTCTAATTTACATTGTACTTTACTTCAAGTACCTTTTTAGATGTACTTTACCCAGCACTGACAATACCTAAATTCCGGTGCGAACTACCGAATCTCCGTATACCGTACCAGGTTCAGAGACCAGCTTTAGCAAACCGAAGTCAGATTACGATAAACGCTGCGAAATCACATGATGCTGAGTGATGACAGCTTGAAGCGCATTGAAGCGAATGTTTTTTTTAGCTTAACTTAGCAGTATTTATGTCAAATGAATCTTGTACAGGCAAACGAGTCATGTAGGTATCTTTCCCGTATATTTTACGATTAGACAGTCAGCGGTGTTTGGAGCCGTAATGTGGTGTCCCGAGGCGTTTTTATATCACTGACGTTATTGTGTATAAAGTGATAGAAAAATGAGAGGCTTGATTTCAGGTCACGCCTCTGTTAATCCGAGCAAGCGCGTGCTATTACAAGGAAACTCCACGGGCCGTACGCCATACGTGCTCGCATAGATTGAAAAGCTATTATTGTATTCTTACAGGAACGCTAAGGAAAAACAACCTCGAGGGTTCGCTTCGTGGTGAAGGGTGTGAGGAGTCGGCCAAATCCCTTGAAACCTTTTACGACCGCCCTAACCCATCAATCATCGCAGAGTAAGTAAAAAAAACAAAAACAAAAACAGCATTTTTAGCATTTTTTAAATCTTGATTTCCCAGAACCTCTCTTTACAAATTATTCTAACAGGGAGAAGTGGCTTTGACCGAATAATTTGTTGAAGCAGATCTGATTGTTAGAGGTTAACGCGCTGGTAGAAACGACACCAAAACATTAAACACAAGGGCGCACACCGAAAATCGGACGACACATCTTTCGTCCGATTTCCGGTATCTCAACTCTCCCGTCCCCTCCAGGAAACTCTAAAAAGAACCGACGTCTTCCTTGAGACTGCAGGGAGTTACGTCCGCAATCGTTTGACAGCGGTCATTCGTTGGGTGGTCGTTGATGCGGTATGCGGGTGTCACCTTCAACGCCCGGAAGGAAGACGGAGAGACCTCAGGAAGGGAGAGGACGTGAAGGACCTCGGCAGCGACCCGAGAAACCACAGAAAACGTGAGTCAAGTGAGCCGGATTCGGGGGTGACCCGAAGCTGCGGTCTCCCGGCAAAGACCCGAAGAAACTACCGACACTGCTCAGTTGAACACGATACACCGGCTACGGTTTTTGGCACATCGACCATTTGACGACGAGGGGTCATCTCCACGTCGTCAAACGGTCACCTGGAGCAAAACCTAACCTATTTGCAACTCGAGCCCACCTCTCGCCTTCTCAACGGTGGCAGGAGCTATCGGCCTTTTTGCTGCTGTCACCGCACGGTTCTAATAGACGTGTTCGTGCATCATGCAGTTTAAACGGAAAAAGCGAGTACGTTAAAAGAGAAATTATTGCGTTTGCAAATTTTAAAAATCAATATACTAATTTCTTAACGCACTGCGCCAACATCTCCGCCACCTGTGATATGCTCCTGTCGCGACCGCTTCGTATTTGTAGCCAAATAAATTAATTTTAGCATACTGACGAACGTCAGTGAGCAGGCGCATGAGAAATCCTGGAGAATCTATCCAACACGGTAACGGTTTGCTATAGTCCCTACTATCTCGGGCGCTGAACGTGACGTACCGGAACTGTGGTCACCATCATGAAGAATGTGAGACTGTTCCGAAGTTTAGTGCGCTTGTAAATATTCAAGCTGTGTTATTTATTTTTATCTTCGCGTAATATAACGTTTTCTGTTCCCACGATCAGGCGCTTTCTTTTCTTTACTCAGGAGGCTAGCTTGAATCACTACAACAGGGTATATCGTAGCAGCTCTAAAGTACTTACGTTTGATGAGGAGCAATGAACATTTGATGCCAAAGTACTTATGAAGTTCGAGACCCGCGACTGGCGAAGTTGCGAGCCGCTCGGCAGTGCTCTTTAGAAACGTTGGAAAGCATTTGCACACCTGACACGACATAGACACTGCAGCTGATATGTAAACATCACGTTATCAATCGAGAGAAAACACTCACCCGAGGTTCCTGCGCAAAGCACCACGCGAAACAAATGATGCCGCTTCACCTGTCCTGAGAAACGTGAAGTCCTCTGTCGGTGAAGCAATTTTTATTTTCCACAACCGTGGCGTTCCGAAGAATGCTTTTGCTCAGGGCTACTGGCAGACAAAAGTTCCCATAACCCAGGCCTGCCTCTAAATCGGCAGAGCTCGTGTTTTTCTACTCTGAGCGTGGTGCCAAAACAGTGACTGTTGCGCTGCGTGCAAAGCAAACGTGCCGCCGGATCAAGTTCGTCGGTTGTTCGCTACATATTCGCACCGTGGACTTCAGCCTCTATGCCGGCATCTCATTGGCTATGGAGTTTTTAACATAATCCTTCGTGCTTGCCACGCCGTGCTATTCTTAAGCCGTCAGTGACCATACATTCATTAGAAGCCTGCAGCGTCTGTTTTCACGCGAAGCACTTGGGAGAGCCAATCGCTGCAATTTACTGAGCGAGCTCGGCAAATAACAAATTTAATAGTATGCTTAAACCTTAAAAAAAAAAAAAAAAAAACTGTCTGCGCTGTGGTATTGAGCCTGATGTTTCATCGTGCTCCAGGGCGCCGACCTTCCAGTGGGCAGTCTCTCCTCTATATAGATTCGACTGTTCACTTTTGTAATCACTGAAACCTTAAAGGAGCCTTGCAACGATGGTCACTTGTAATGCTTTTTTTTTTTTTCTCGCTTTACACGAGCTTATTGGCAAGTATACTGGCACGCAACGTCACTGACCAAGAAACTCCTTTGTTGCGGTGAATTATGGAGGACTAAGGTGAGCGTTTTTATTTCAATCAATCCTTCGCAAAACTTGATAAGATAGCTGGGGGGTCGAAGTACTCCCCAGTGACGATATTTGAATGCGGCCCATAGACTGGACCCGAGCATTGCGTGAGCACTCGATCTGGGTTTGCGATAAGCAGTACATAGCTCGACAAGCATTGCATTCGGATAGTGGCCCGTGTCCAATCGGGGCTATGTCGACAATAGCCGAACCCTAACAATGTCTGGAACTCGGCGTGTGTCCTGCGCCTTGCCAACCCCAGCGAGTGGCTAGGATCAACATTGGCGGCATGTAATCGGCTCCATATCAGGTGGCCGCTTGTTCTGGCCGCGAGTTAAAGGAATGAACGCTGCTCGTTTTTTTTTAATTTTTTTTTCTGCGACTTCTATTGCGTGTGGTGCAAAACGAACGCCTGTGTCATGGGTCATTAACGTCAGGGATTCGTTCTAAGCGGTATTTACGTAAAGTACAAAAATCGTTCCATCACTTCTTTAAGAAACGCAGGGTGTGCCGAGTCCCGGACATGCTAGATGATCGCTTCTTATATAGGCCAATGCGAGTTTTGCATTATCCTATGAGAACAGAGAATAACGAACCACTTAGCAAAAAGCGATACGATATGAGCCTCGTCCTGCGTTTATTAAGCTCGCGGTGACAGTAGCCATCGGTACTTGAAGTAGAAGGAAATCTATAATAAAAGCTACAGTCGTTGCATCATGATGTGCCGTACGTGTATGTTTCGCTTTTACAAAAAAAAACAACAAACAAACAGGAAGAAACGGTCGAACTGTTTTCCAGCGTTCACTTTCACGATTCGCGCGTATTTGCCAATCGCGGCTAACGCGATGAACCACAAAGTACAGATTCTCTGATTGGCTGAAGTAAAGTGTACGTCAATCTGCGACACTTCACTAACTAAAGAGGGTATTATATACATAATGCATGCTTGAACTGTCGCACTGAATGAAGACCGATGCTGTGCGAGGCAAGCCGAAGTTGTAGCGAGCAGCTCGCCCTTGAGGCTGGTTTGTTGCCGCCCTACGACAGCGGGGGAATGCGTTACAAGTACTCGGGATAAACGGCGGTGGATTCCCTTCGCGATGGAATGACGGTGGATTCTCTTCGTACCGGAACAGCGATGGATTCTCTTCGTATCGGAACCGCAGGTGCGGGCACGGGTGTTGCTCTGAAACAAAACCCAGGCAACTGCGTAAGGAAGCAGTGGCTAAAAAAAATAAATGTGTCTAATAAAAGCGGGAAAAAAAACACACACACACACACACGGGGGGAGGAAACTCACAACAGTAGAGGAAAGAAAACATTTCACGTAGTACTTTTAATAAGAAAACGGGTATTCAGTGAAAACATTTCACGTAGTACTTTTAATAAGAAAGCGGGTATTCAGTGCACCTAAATTTCAAATATGATTGCGGAAAAAGCGTGCTTGCGATTTCTGAACAATAAATACCCACGCGTTTTTTTTTTTTTCTTTTTTTGAAAACATAGCGAAGTAGCACTATTTTACCATGTTCCAAATTTGATGCAAATTTCGGCTGGTTTTTCGCACTCTTAAGGCCTATCTAGTGCGATGCATGACGAGTTTTCCGAAAGTGAACTAAGCCCATGGAGACGTGGCCTATTTCATAGGCCGGAAGTTTATTAAGCGATTAGCCATATATTGTATCGATTGATGTAATGATTTACACTCTACGGTACTTCGCCAAGCGCAAGTCTGAGAAAAACATTTTGCTATTCATTTCCTGAACACAAGGTGCGCTTTGAGTATTTAAGCACGCTGAAAATTGAAAGGTACAAAAGTAGGGACACCGTGCGAGCCGTGTAAATGTTGACGACTATTCGAGTTCCCCATCAGCGAAAATGGGCATCTATATGCGTACTAATCGAGGCGGTCGAACGCGGCTGATTAGTCTGGATATATAAAGCCATTTGCGAGTCCTTCGCGGCGTGGACTATTATTCTCGTCTACGCATCGCTAAAATAGGCCGAAGGAAAAACCGCGGGAATTTTTTTTAGAATTCTAGAAACCAAAGATAGCCATACTATTGTGTTATCCGTGCAATCGTTTGCGTGAGTATCCTGCTCAGATTTCCCGGTTGTAACCTTCCGAAAAACACAATCGTATAAGTTTCGAAGTAAGGACAGAACGGGCGGATTGGTAGGGATAATTAAACTTGAGGAAGAAAACGTTTGTGTTCGTCCGTCTCTTCTCGTTTTCTTTCTCAAGTTTAAGTATAAGTTTCCTTTTTTCCTTGTTTTCGTGCTTGAAAAATGAAAAGGATGGTGCATGTACGGAGGCAAATATACCAAAAACTAAGTTGTCCTACGCGTTGGTAGCGAGTTTGCTTTTGCGTGGCTTGGTTAGTATGAAGAGGCGCGGTTTTTGGTTATGTTAAACGTGTTTCTGTTTCCTTTCGAAGTAGAGGCAGTGAAACTTATTGCTCGTCTGCATATTTCTATGCGAAGTTACAGTGAGCGCCGTGTACCAGGGGTCCGACTGTTTTGCTCTTGCCACGCATGAAAGCATATATTTCAGGGTTGTTATTACACGTTTTTTGGGTATATATATATATATATATATATATGTGTGTGTGTGTGTGTGTGTGTGTGTATAGGCTCGCTGAAGCAGAACGGATACAGGGTGTGACTGGTAGCACTATGCTCACCACAAACAGTATATATATACAAAAAATGCAAATTCTTACGCATGCGGGTGGTCACTAGTACCGTTTGCGTAGTTTGAGAATTTCCTGAAATACATGCCATACTGGCTCATCTGCATACAAATAAAACAGTTGATTTCTACTATTTTTCATCCACTAACAAGAAAAGAATAAACTACCTGTTGGTTCAAGGTTGTATCAAAACGTAAGATTTTAGCGGGACTGTGGTAGACTTTCGTGTCAAGCTTCTCAAAATCTTTAGGAGCAAACAAGGGATCACTCGATAACAAGGCAAGAATAGTAAGCCACAGTACACGTAAAGATTCACGTGCTTGAGAACGACGGCAGTATTTACAAGCGCCACTGCGCTACACCTCATCGTGGTTGCATGCAAGATCGCTCGACACCACCTAACTAACTCCTGCCGAATGTCAAACGGGACCGTCGATTATTAGAATAGATCCTAAGTAACTACTTCCAGGACATAACATTGGGATAAACCGCAAAAATGTGCAACGTAATGTACATGTTAAAGGATAGGAGACTTGGAAAATGCCATGCGAGAGGTCGAACAGGATCAAGCTTTTCGATTCAAAGCCTGGTGTGTGCGCATAACGGATACATTAAAAATAAGCGATGACTCGCTACAAGTGGCCGCTGCGGAGGCTGACGTCGCATTGAGTTTAGCCATCCGCTCTTGTTTTGGTTTATAGTTTCCGTGTCTGCCTCCTTACGGCAGAGCAGAATTTAGTTCGCTAAATTCAAACAACGGCTATAATTCTGACTACGGTCAACAGCTCTCTCATTGGTACGTGTCAACTAAGGTGAATACTTCAAAAGGTAATTCATGCATTTTGGGTACCTAATTACCAAATTATTACATTACCTCGTAACCGAACGTCCGCCGCGGTCGATAACATTATTTAAAAAAAAAGATTCTATACATCCGTTAATCCTTGCACATAGCATGACAAAACACACAAAAAACAACCTCGCATCCCTGTTTCTATATGTGTTACGCAGAGAGCCGAGCGCTGCGATTTAGAAAGAAAACATAACTAATCCCGAGACCCTGAAATATTTCGAAATCGACACTGCAATCTGCGCTGCCATTTTGAGCATGGCTTTCTATGCACTTTTTATTTACTTATTTGTTTATTTCAGTACCCTCAAGGCCCTGGGGCATTACAGAGGGGAGTGGTACCAAGACAAATTTGAAATACAAACATTATACAAACACTAAAAGCCAAGCACTACAAATGTTAAAAATATTTGTAAACAGGTTAAGAAATTTATAGAACAAGGAAAACAAAGAAAGAAAAATATTAACACAAGTAGGCGGTCACCGCACTTTTAAACAAGTCAAGGGACCTTATGTTTACCAATTGCGCGGGAAGGCGATACCACTCCGAAGATGTTCTTGGAATAAAAGAGTTATAATAGGCTGAGGTAATGCAATGAGGAATTCCGACTTTAAATTGATGATCTACGCGCGGCGAGATGAAAACAGGTTTTAACATTAGTTTGTTTTTTAGCGAAGTATTGGAATGATAAATATTATAAAAAAAGACACAAACGAGATATTTCTCGGCGTAATGAAAGAGCAGGAAGTGATAAATTAGTTTTCATAGTTGAGACACTAGATGTGCGATGATAGTAAATATAAAACGGGCACCGCGATTCGGTAGGGCTTCAAGATCAGTCACGAGAGTTGAAAGACCCGGATTACAGATTGCTGCGGCATAGTCTAGTTTGGAACGGACAAGGGTTTTATAGATTAGTAGTTTTGGGGACACTGGGGCTAACCTAAAGTTTCTCTTTAGGTAACCAAGCATGGAGTTAGCGTTGGCGATGATGTGGTCAATATGAGCTCTCCGTCGAATCATATAGTGATTCGACGGGAGATATTTATCGCTTTACATTTGGTAGTATTAAGGGACATTTGCCATAAATCACGCCAATCAGCCACAGCTAGTAAGTCATTTTCAAGAAGGGTGATGTCAGTAGCATTAGCGACTTCTCGATAAATTACACAATCATCAGCGAGGAGGCTAATAGATGATGATACACACAGTGGTAAGTCATTTACGTAAATTAAAAACAACAGGGGCCCCAAGACAGACCCTTGCGGTACCCCAGAAGTAACAGGTTTCATATAAGAATTTACATTGTTAGCATGAACGAACTGTGAACGACTAGTTAAAAAACATGTTATCCAACACAGCATCTAAGGATCGAGATTGAGTTGACTGAGTTTAAAGAGTAAACGTTTATGAGTAACTTTGTCGAAAGCTTTGCAGAAATCTAAAAAAGCACAGTCATTCTGGGATCCACGGTCAAGTATGGAAAGCACATAATTAATGAAGGGCAGTAGTTGAGTCTCACATGAAAGGGATTTACGAACGCCATGTTGGGATAGAGAAAAGAAGGAATTAGAGTCCAAGTAGTTAACCAAATGAGTGAATATTATGTGCTCTAAAAGTTTACAAGGTGTGCTGATTAAAAGGAAATGGGGCGATATTTAAGAGGACTCTGTTTATCGCCTTGTTCATGGAGTGGAATCACCTTCCCTGTTTTCCACTCCTCAGGCAATACACCAGATGCAAGAAATTGCTCAAAAATGTTGAAAACGTAAATTGCGATATAATTTTTAGTATTCTTAATGAGTGTGGAGGTAACACTGGGGGGGGGGGGGGGGGGGGGGGGGGGGGTCAACTCCAAAAGGCGAAGATGTTTTTAAGCTATCAATCAACTTTACAATTCCGTCATAGTCAATTACAAGAGGATCCATAGGCGAAAACTATAATTAGGGTACACAGGGTGGGAGCACTCATCATCGACACAAAACGCTTTTACAGAAAAGTCATTTAAAATGAAGGCACAATGGTCATTTGGAATAACAACACCATTATTAGTGAGCGAGATATCATTCGTTTTGTTTCCATTCATAACACGCCAAAACTATTTAGGAATGTTAAGTAACATGGAGGGTAAAATCACATTAAAAGTATGTTAGTTTAGCGTCCTTGATGGCTAGTTTATAAACATCCTCAGCTTCGCAATAGATTTCCCAACGTGCGTCACTACAAGAAAGCTTTGCAGAACGGAACAAACGTTTCTTGTTGTTATTAAGGCGCTTAAGTGTTACATTAAACCATGGAGACAAGGAATTTGGTTTAATGAACCTATATGGATTGATAAGTTAATTAGAGATACTAATTTATTTTTAAATATGGACCAATTGCTTTCAACTGAGCGTTCAGAAAAATTAGGAAGGAATTCGTCAAGGAAGCCAGCTAATTCGTTATTTATAGCACCAAAATTTGCTTTACTATAGTCAAAGAATCGTTTTGTTGACTTGCTAGCATCAGTCATTGGTGTAAGTAACAAGAAATGCATAATGAAGTGATCGCTAATACCCGGTAAGTAGGATATAGAAGGGGCATGGTTGGAGTCAGAGAAGAAAATGAGATCTAGTACAGTGGCCGAAGACATAGTGACTCGAGTAGGTTCAGTAACAAGTTGTGTTAATGAAAAATTCAAGCAAAGATTGAGGAAATCAGAGTAAATTGCAGAATTGGAAGTGGTAGTTGGGAATGCTCCTGACCGGTCGATCAGGGGCAAATTGAAATCGCCAAGTATAAATAAAGGTGAAAACAGAAACCTAGATGTAATTGTGCATAACGCGTCATGCAGGGCAGAACAAAAAGTTGTGGACGCAGTAGGCGGACGATAACAGGAACAAAATAACATTTCTATGGGCAGAGATTAAACGCACGCAAACCAGTTCAAGCTGGGTGTTAACGCTCACTTGGTAACATTCCAGATTTACATTCACTGGGATTAGAACCCCGCCCCCCCCCCCCCCCCCCCGCCTATCAGTTCGGTCACAGTGATAAAACCTATAACACTGAATGCAATCAAAAATTTCATTATCGCGAATAACACTCGAAAGCCAAGTTTCTGTAACCATAACAATGCCACCCGACGCCGCGTCAATGACAGAGGACAAGTAATCGCGGTTGCGAACAACACTTCTTATGTTTGTAAATAAAACTGAAATATTTTTTGAAAAAAGATTAAGAACGAAAAGGTTTCTTAATCGCGACATTTTTTAACTTCAAAGTGGCAGATTTGTTGACGCAGTGTTCGATTAGTTTGGGCCGCCCTCACAGATTTGGTTAGTCTCGTAATTGAAACGAAATAGTTTATTCCCCAGATGTAATCTGTCAACGCGAAGTTTGTAGAGGCCTCTCTGGGCTCGGGCGAACTGTTGAAGTATTTTTCTGGAGAATTGAATATTCTTAGGGTAGTTTTCGCTGACCGACACGTTGGTGTCTTTTAGCTTGGAGCATGATCTCAGCACAGTTTCTTTGTGTTGAAAGAAAGAAAATTTTACGATAATAGGTCGGTTTTTATTAGGATTATAGTTGACTTAATGCGGCGAGCCAATGTTTTAGCGTAAAAGCGTCTGCTCCGTCCCCTGATCGAGGCAAACCTAAATGCGAGAATGCATGGTGTCTCGGAGTAACAGGCGCCAGCATTTGGGCGCTCGGAGTCACTGACGACCTGCTGAGTATGGGAGACGTCAACGTTGGTTGTGTCGCACGCAGTTGGTTCAACAGGGTATATACATTGTATAATCCATACCTGGATGATTTGAACCTGGCTATGCGGGTCTCGACCAAGATTCCGGCAGTGACATCTTCCCCGACGTCTCCACGGTCCCCCTCGGGCCGCTGCTTGAGCAAGTAGCGGGTGGCCTGAACCAGGTGGAGTGCCGACGCCGCCAAAGCGAGGCTCTGAACGATAGAAAGAGATTTTCAAAAGCGAAAACAGTTCACAAACCGGTGGTATACCATGAACTATTCACCGTCTCACTTGAAGTCCAACTCCAGCCGACGCCACTTCTACCACTGCAATCGAGCAGCTGTAAAAGTGCAACGTCACGACGCTTAACGTCTTTGTCCGTTTGCTTTGACCCGCTAAACCAGTGACACAAATGCATGCGCCGAAATCCTCCGCTTTTTAAGGAGAAAGCCTTCTATCGTTCAGTTAACTTTCAGAAAGCACGTGGGCGACACGAAGGTTACCAAAACGAAAGGTACCCTTGAAACGGCACCAAAAGTGCGTCGTCAGAGAACGCGCTGTCTTCGGAGGTTTGCTCTCACGTTTACTTGACCCCTCAGGCGAATTTGAGACAATGAAATCAAGAAGGATGACAAAGCGAATTAAGAGGAATCAAAGTGAATTAAGTAAATCATGTCTGTCTTTAATGCATCGGCGCTTGGGCTTTCACTTTCAAGTCGTCTTACGGATAACAGGATAACATAAGAGAAACCGGGGTGACAGTTGGTTTTTCTTTTATTGTGCTCCTTTCCATCGCTTATCACACGGGCGAAAAATGCCAAGTCACTGAGATGTAAGCGCGTGCGCAGCGCCTGACCTACCGCACAGCAGAGCAACAGCGCATGCTCAGAAGGTGCTCCATAGACCAGCAGACAAAGATGGCAGCGCGCAGGCGATGTTTGCAAAGGTCTATAGTAAACGCGTAGTCTTTTATTTTCCTTATGTTTCTCTTCGGGTTGAAGGTCTTTCCCTTAAAATTTCTAAAACGAATGAGAGTATCACTTTATAAGCTAAACTCTGAGACGCGGACAAATAAAATAACGGACAAGACGACAAAACACCTATGTGTCTCAGAGTTTATAGTTTCTGGTGCTTCCTAACCAGCTCGCCTGCATACCTTCGCTTCTTGAGATGAACACTTCAATAGTTTATGTGTCAACGACGTTTACCGAACTCTGATTGTCTGCCTGATTTGAAGGTTTGAAGCTAGTGTGTATTTGTACCAACAGCTGCACTTTGGTTACTGCTCTGAAACTCGTGATAAACGAAATATTTGGCTAAATAGGAAAACCGGGACGTGGAGAATGACGCATATATTTTCAATTAAAGCCTGTTTTGTGATGAAATTATTTTATTAAGTAGTGCGGAAATTTTTCCACCTACGAAACTCGACCAAATTACTCGTTCTTACTAAAAAAAAAAAAAAAAAAAAAAACCTTTGCGTTGCTGGACAGAACAATCAGGTTCAGTAAGAGAACTGCCATCTCGCCCCCCCCCCCCCCCCCAAAAAAAAAAAAAAAAAAAACGACACATAAAAACACAAAACAAAAAATCTTTGACGCCATACACGCGAAATTCGAATGACGACAGATGGTTTGGTGGCGTACAAAATTATTCCAACCGTTTCGCTGACGGAACTATGCTACTCAAGTGAACCGCTTGTTGTCGTTATCATTACCACCTCTCCTTTGAGAATTGCTTCCTCGGAATTTATAACAGCAAAGGTAAGTGAACATAAGGCGATCGAGTAAACACGCGCTTTTGATGCTCTACTCTGAGGTGGGTACACACATTACGCACGTGGACGGTCGTTTCCTCTCCCGAGGCAAACGATTACCACCGACATCGAGGCGTACACAGTGAAAAAAAGTTGGATCAGTCATTAGAGTACGTCACGAAATCGAGTGTTGGCACGGCCAGGAAATAACAGCAATTTGTGAGCGTGGGCAGACGTATACCATTCGTGGAAGAGCCTGTCGGTAAAATTTTAATCTTTCTCCTAGTAACGAGGTCCCATCCGTTTTTACCTAGAATCATTACTCATGGACGTTAGTGCACAGTGTACGCCCAGTGCGCCCGAGGAAACATCAGTTCTGCTTAATGTTTGATGTACGTGAATTTTGCCATTCTACTACCCTCGGATATTGTAAAGAACATTTGCAAAATTGTTCTCTTTGACTGTCGAAACTCCTAATTAAAGGTTTAAAAGACAACTCCGGTCAATATATACTTTTTTTATTTGGGATTACGACTGTTTTCAGCTAAGGCAGTGTCCCTGAATCACAATGCATAATTATTTTGTTTTCGATATTCTGTGTACAGAGAGTTTTATAAACAGCACGGCTCAAACTTTGGTTTCGGGCGTCTACGGCAAAGCCGAAACTATCTGCTAGAGGGATGGCAACACTTATGATGAGCCGTACGGCAGCGACGTGACGTCATCGTGGTGTTGTGGTACGCGGTACAACCAATGAATCGCAGCTCCACCGCGACGTGACATCACAAGGGTTCTGCTCCAATGTTCCTTGACTAAAAACTCACCCGCGTGCCACCCGCTTAAAGAGCAGCTGGTCGCATTTTTAAAATCGGTCTTAGTGGAGTACGCGGTTTGACTTGCACGTAATATTTCGGCTGTGATCCTATTTCGTGCCACTAAAGCAATAACAGTAATTTATTTTGGTTTGGTTTACGACCGGAGTTGCACCCTTTGAGAAAAGTTATGTATTTTACGAAATATTTGTTGCATCATCGCGTAGAAGATGGTAGATTCGTTGAGGACATAGCGTGCTATCAGGACTTTTTTTTTTCTTTATCTCACATTATTAGGATTTGTAGTGCTGGCGATTTAGGTGGCCTTTTTGTCCCGGATCTTCACAGGTGACGAAACATCTGCTCATCGTTCCTTTTGAGTCTGGGGCGAAAAGGCAGACAAAAGAGTGGCGTTATCCGCGATCGCAAAAGACATACACGTTCAAGATGATTCCTTCCACAGGAAAGGTCACGGAAAGGTCATTTAGGGGCATTCATCGAGAGATATTTGTGAATGTGATACCCGGGATGGAAACCGTCAATTCAGACGCCTGCATTACAAACATCCGAGAGCTTAAGTAGTGCCACCGACGTGTGCGGCCCAACTGCAATCTGGGAGACATTTTGATCAGCACAACAATGCCTGTCCTCATGCAGTCTCAGAAACCCAGGAGGCAATGGCCAAGTTTGATTGGACAGCACTCCCCCGTCAAACTTGATGCCGTCAGGTTCTCATCTTTTTGGCCCACTGAAAGATGCACCGCACATAACGTAGCTTGAAAACGCCATAGCGTATTTAGTGGAATGAGGACATGACTACGTGCGAAGTAGACGAGCTGGTGTACACAGCTGGTAAGCAGGGAAGGCGTATACGCCCTTGTTACACGCTGTCGTGATGCCTTAGAAGTGGGCGACGACTACGTCGAACAATAAATTATGTAAACAGCAAAGAGGCTGGGATACATTGTGTGAGTTTCATGCACTTTGAATAAACCGTTTTGGAGGAGAAAAAATCACGTGACACGCTTTTTCAACTTGTTTCTGTTTAGCTTTCCTCCTCAACTCATAAATCGCGCATTGTACCAAACAGTTCAAGAAGTCGGAAAGGGGGGAGTCCCCTCTTGCTCGGAATCTCGCTTTTGTAGCCGGACACAGCTATTGTCCCCCTAGAAGATTAGCCCGTCGCTCAAAATTCCGACCCCGTTCACCCCGAAGCTGACAGTGCTGTGGAAGCTACGTGCTCGTTGGGCCAGCCACACATTTTCCACGTGATCACGCTCTCTCGCGCATATCGACCCGCAGAGAATGAGGTCAGGTGATGAAAGGGAGGCGGCTGATTGGTCCGGCAAGCGCGTAGCTTCCACCGCAATGTCAGCTTAGGGGTAAAGGGATTAAGTGAGGTCCGATGTCGTGTGACGTACGCTTGGGCCCTGGTGACGCGCTGCGGGGGCCCGGTTATGGTGGCTAGTAGCCCGGTGACGCGCTGCGGGGTCCGCGGATGTATCACAGTGAAAAGGCGGAGAGTTTACGAAGGGAAGGAGGTACGAAATAGTCCGCTATGTTTTGCAAATTTTCGTAGCGAAAGTCAGGCTTCTGACTTTCTACCTTTGTTCTTTTGGCCCACTGAACGACGTGCTATTAGTAAAATCCCAATATAAATTGATTTACTCCAGCCCAAAATTCGTTTCATGGGTCCTTTAACTTTCTGACCAACTTTCGTATCAGTAGTCCAAGTTGAATACAAACTTCAACTTGCTGTTTATTAAAAACAAAATTCTAATAATTTTAGAGCACCAGGAAATGACTATGGCGGCGTCTTCAGGGTAAGGAGTGGACAAGACAGTTGTAGGGTTTAAAAACTCTTACCACATTACTATATCTAAATCAGTAACTTGTTTATTCTATATCGTTCCCCCTTGTCGTCGTCTTAATTTTTCGCTGGAGTCTCAAAGCTTTTTTTGTTTGCTTTTTAAAAAGTACGAGCTCATTACAAAATCTCAGTTTGGATTACAAAAACACCGCTCTACAGAACTTGCCTTATCTGAAAAGAAGTTTATTTTACATAATCTAGAACTTAAAAAATAGTTTTCGGAGTTTGTATTGATTTTACCAAAGCTTTTGACTATTTAAACCACAAACTGTGATTACGAAAGCCTAAATATTAGGCACTCGCTATGGTGAGGGGGCCCCGTCACTGTAGTGCAGCCGGCAAAAGTGAAGGGGCCCCGTCACTGTAGTGCGGTAGGCAAAAGTGAGGGGGCCCCGTCACTGTAATGCAGCCGGCAAAAGTGAGGGGGTTCGTCACTGTAGTGCAGCCGGCAAAAGTGAGGGGGCCCCGTCACTATAGTGCGGTAGGGAAAAGTGAGGGGCCCGTCACTGTAGTGCGGTAGGCAAAAGTGAGGGGGCCCCTCACCGTAGTGCGGTAGGCAAAAGTGAGGGGGCCCCGTCACTGTAGTGCAGCCGGCAAAAGTGAGGGGGCCCCGTCACTGTAGTGCGGTAGGGAAAAGTGAGGGGCCCGTCACTGTAGTGCGGTAGGCAAAAGTGAGGGGGCCCCTCACCGTAGTGCGGTAGGCAAAAGTGAGGGGGCCCCGTCACTGTAGTGCAGCCGGCAAAAGTGAGGAGGCCCGGTCACCGTAGTGCGGTA